GGGGAGCACAAGGTCCCCGCCGTGACACGAGTCCCCATGAGTCTGTGTGTATTCAGGTTTAAGTCCCCACCAGGATATATAAACCAGTACACACACACACACACACACACACACACACACTCACACTCACTCACTCACTCACTCACTCACTCACTCACACACACACACATTACAAATGCTCAAACTTTAATTGTTTCTTTAATATTTATTAACAAGTGAAAGCTGCATAAAAATTTCAAACCAATAGATTAAATGTGTTTTTATTCTAATTATTCTTTATTCATTAGAATATATGTTTTTACATTTATTATTTTGTTAAATAATTTTGTAAACTGCATTTATAAACTTTATTACATTTTAAATATTAATTCAAAACTATATTATAATATTGTCATTTAGGATGTAACGATTCACTCAACTCGCGATTCGATTCACGATTGTTTTTTTACAAAATGAGATTTAAGACAAATTATAAATTTAAATGTGTCCTTTTATTATTGCTTGGACAAAATGCTGCACGTTTCTTTGTGAAACCATCTCAACCGATTTGAATCGTCACATATTTTAATCGAGTTTCAACCGGCTCGCGGTTAATCGTTACATCCCTATTGTCATTATATTTGTCAGTTTTAAAGTGATTATTATATAATTTACATTTTTATTTTTAGGTTTAAATTTTTTATTTGTATGCTAAATTGCACTCCAGTTCTTCTGTGGTTTGTTTCATAATGCAAGGCTATATTTATTTTTGGGGGGAATATTTTAATAAGTTTTGGCTGAATTTGTTCAGATTTAGAGGTGTGATGAATGTATGAATAATTATATTTTATAAACAAATTAATACATTTCTATAAGTTTTTATAAAATGTATTATTTTGGTACATTTTAACTTCATTTTTAGACAGACTTTATTAAATATAAATGCAAAAAACAAAATGCAAAAATATTATAAAACAAATACCATGTCATTATATTGGAAATAAAAATCACTTTAAAAATTTGCATTTTTATATGTAGATAGTAAATTGCACTCTTAGTCTTCCATGGTTTGCTTCTATGTTTATTATTTTAGACAATGTTTTAGTCTTTTTTTTTTTTTTTTTTCTTGGATACCGTCAGTTCTAGAGGTTTGATTTATTTAGTTATTATTATTATTGAAGAAGTTGATGGAATTGGTGGCCAGTAGTGATTTATACATTGATTTCTCTTATGTCTCTAGAGTTTTGAGTGTATTAAACTCATCAGGTGGACACATAGGGATCATTTTTCATATTTGGATTTCATATAAGGAGAGTTTCCTTATTATCAAGGATTTTTAAGTGATGTGAACACAAGCTTTCAGTGTTCAGTGAATCCAAGCAGGTTTTATGTTACTGTCATTATTTTGTAAGCATAAGCCACACGTGTCTGGACCGTTTCTTTATGTTACTGCTGCGTCTGAAACCAATCGGACAGATTCAGACCAGAGCCACCTTCGGCTGCTTCACTTATGCCGAGTTCACACTGCACGATTTTAGCCCGATTTTTCACTCGCCGACAGGTTTTGCGAAATCGCCGACAAATGCCTGAAATCGGAGGCAAATCGGTGCTCGTTCACGCGAGTGACAATCACGCAGTGTGACTTATCAAAGACACAATCTGAGAGAATCGCCGATGCACGTGAAATATTTGGCATGCTAAATATCTGGAGTGGATTTTTTATTTATTTTTTTGCGTAAATTGTCAGTGAACTACGGCTGTGTGTAGTAAAATCTGCTCCATCTGAAAGCACGTGATGATGATTTCCTGCTGATTACAGAACTGTCTTCCCTCGAAAGCAATTGGGCTATTTTCGGCTAGTTTTGAGTAGTAATTTTGGCTGGGTTTTGTAGCTAAAACCTGGCAACCCTGCACCAGACAGAGCTGTCGGCGATTCTTCCTATTGTAAAGTCATGCAGTGTGTAACCTCCTGTCGTCGTTCCATCGTGCAATGTGAACACAGCAACAACTGAATGCTACCCCAGATAGTCGTGCAGTGTGAAACCAACAGTGATGCGACGTCTTTGAAAATCGTGCAGTGTGACCTCGGCATAAGTTGTTAAAAACTTGAAGTTGTAGGTTCAAACCCCCAGTCACGATAATTGAAGATGTCCTACCATTATAATGAGAGTGCTGTCAATCAAATGAGCTTGTAAATTAGCCAGACAGTTAGTTTGTGTATCTTTACCTTTAACTCTTGAATTGTCCATTAAATTGTGCATGTTTGATTCAGTGCCTTGTGCTTAATTTTTGGTCTCAGGTTTGAGTGTGTAAACGTGTAGAACATGCTGGTTTCCATTCACAGCCGACTGTAAATCAGGTTTGGATAATGTGATTACAGACTTTAATACTGTCTGCTCTCTGTCTCAGGTGTTGGTTTGAAAACAGGTTATGAAAGCGTCATGTTCAGTCATCTCCAGCAATGGTCTGAACACGTTTAACGCAGGCTGTAAATGAGAGCTTGACTTGTACGGTCAAGAACCCATTTTTTAAAAAAGATTTCCTGATAAGTCTTCTGAGAAACATGTGTATGTTCTGCTAGTGGTGTCAAACTGAATTGCAGTCTGTTTGTTTGAGCGATCCGGCTAAACATGACGTGCCAACATTGACTCAACCAGTGGTGTTTTTGCAATTTTGTGCTGATAGTTTTGCACAAATTGCATAATAATAACTTATTGCTGGAACCCAACACTTTGACTGTCCCATGGGCTCAGTTTGAGTATCAGACCTCTGACCCACAACTTATTTATTTACTAACTTTATTTACTTACTTACTTACTTACTTACTTATTTATCATTGTATAAAGGATATAATGTATAGATTATATATTATTCTTTATATAAATGTTTATATAAATTACAGTACTTGTATTTATATAAATTATTATATTATTTTTGTAAACAATTCAAAATATTAATATAAACTATGACATTTTTGGTCAAATTATATACAGTAATTATATAAGTAATTGAAATATATGTATTTTGAAATATTTAAAAGGAAATTCTCTCACATTTTTCCTCACAGTGTTAATAGCCAATTTATTTTAAATGTTCTTTTTATATATAGAATAAAATATATATTTTATAGTTTTTATATAGCATATATAAAATATAATTTTATATAAATATTTTATATTTTTAATATTAATAATATTTTATACAGTACTTCTATGTAATATATATTTCCTATTTTTTCCTCACTTTTTTTCCTCACACTGTATTAGTTATATATATTATTTATAAAATATATTTTAAAATCCCTCTTTGGAGTAATATTTTTTTCTTCTACTGTTTAGAGCCAATTTAATGCCTGACTGCGTTTCACTGGTGGCCAGAAGTAAAGTTTGAATTTAATGTTGTGATCTGCGGCTAGAGGTTCAGTCTGAAGCAGCTAATGAGGAACCGGAGGAACATTTCTAGAGGAGAGACACGTGCTTCAGCGTCAGTGTGAGTGGTTCGTCTCTCAGCAGCTGCTCGTATGACTGATGACCCTGTGCTGTAAAAACCCTGTGGGCCGATTTGCATTATTATTAACGTCAGCACAGGAAACCCTCCTGAGCTTCATCCTGCAGATCTGTGTTCACCTGCTTCTCAGAGATTTAACCAAAGTCATATCAACTGATACAATTAGTGTTCTGTTAAATGAAC